ACGCAGGCGGCGCTTCAGTGACGCTGGTGTCAGGTCTGCCGCGAAACGGCCGGGCGCGCTTTGGCTTGTTGGGTAATGGAGTTCGTGGGTGGTGACTGATTTCTGCCCGTCAGATGAACAGGGTACGGCATGTGATAAAAGAATCGTCCTATCGTACAGAGGTGTGTGAGCACAGATGCCTCGGACCGGGATTTATTGCATTATTGAGCAGAGCTTTAGAGCATTCAGCCACGCATGAAGTGGATCATAAATGTGTTGTGTTAGTCTTGTGTAGAACATGCTGGTCCAATCCTCTAAGCGGCCCACAAACTTTTACGTTATAGGTGGCATGTACGCACCGGACTGGACCCAAGCTGTTATGTACCGCACGCACTTAGCTGGCGGTGATGATGCTAAACGGCCGCAAAACTCCATAATTTTACCGCGCAATTACCAAGCTACCAAGCGTACCGTGAAGCCAAAGCCGTAATTTGATTACCCAGGGCACTCAAATGACCATTCAGTTTAAATTTCAGATTTGACCACAGGCATGTGGGCCAGTCATTTACGTGTCATACGCTGAGGGTCGCAGCAGCAGGCGTTCCCTGGACCAATGGTGCCCATAGCGACACACAACAGCCGAGAGCCAGCGTCAGCGCCCCGTCCCAGTGTTGACGACATGACCGCTGATGGCTTAGACCCGCCCTCTCCGCTGCTGGGGGCCGTGTCGCCACACCTGACGGCGGCGCGGCGGCGGCGGCGGCGCGGCTCCGCCCGGCTGGCCGATGACCGGGCCGGGCCGGCGCGCCCTTTGTCTCGCTCGGACGGCGCGGCGCCGCCCTCATCAGGCGTGGCCCAGCTGATCACGCGCCCGGCCGCCCGTGACGCGCGCACGACGTCGGTCAAGCCGTGCTGGTCACGTGACGCAGCGCCGCGCTCCGCCGACGGAATGGCGAGGTGGCCACGTGACCGGGCACGACGCCCCGGCGTCGGGACTGCCAGCTATGGCAATGCAATCGAGTCGGCATCAGGGCAAAACTGACATCTTAAAAATGGGAATAAGCTCGCTTTCATGCATCACTATGCGTGGCTAACTTGTTTTCGTCCCCTGTTGTCG